TAGAGCTAACAGCAATGAGCCTAGAATGTTGTTACATGGGGCTTGCGCACCTAGCGAATCCAGTTGTTATGTCCTTATTTTGACCTAGCTCAGTCCGTGAAATGGGTGGGGTTATTAAATTGCTTATTTCACTTGGCCTTTCCATCTAACAACCACATCTTTTCTTAAAGCCCTCAGGTGACTGGATATCTACGTTATTTATCATTCATTTAATTCCCTGTAGTTAATTCCACACAGCCTGTCATCATAAGTGGATATGTCAAATTCCAAATCCAACCCACAAGTAACTAACAAAAACTAGCAAAATCAATGTGACACAAGTATTTTCGACATTAGGATCACCAGACACTATACAACAGGCCACAGATCCCCTGGCTTGTAACAGCAAGCTTGATATGTTCGGAGCTACCGGTTCGCAGCTGCAGACTGTTAGTAATGCTTATTGTGTTGATGTCTGTCGACATGCGGATGCCTTTTGCACAAATTCGGAGGAGTTTGAAAGGTTTGGTTAAGGCTGACCGCCACCAGTCAGGCGGACCAAGGGAAAGAGCTATGCGATTCATTTGTCTGACTGGCGACCATTGTGGTGGAGATCCTCAGTAATCAGACTGGCGGAGGGCGGCGTGGTTACTTTGCGCTGATAACATACAGAATTCACTCAACATGAGAGAAATCTTTCTGGAACTTTTCCAACCACGAACAGACTTTCATTGCACTGATCTACAACTATAGTTAATGGATCATACAATGGTCACTTAGTGCGAACAACTCTACTTGAACTTACGGTGGACAGAAACCGATGGGTATTGCGGCGATGTGTTTAGACTCGTTGTTGGAGCATTTCTCTAGAAATCCGCGGTTGATTGGGAGCCTGAATGGGTTACTATCAAAGGAACCGGATTTCGCTCGTGGGGTCTTGCTCGGTACGTCCATAGCGTCAATTTGAACACCTGCAAGATGGAAGTGAAAGATTATCTGCATTCTGTATGTAAGTGGGTTCCAGTCTTTCGATATGATTACGGTAGTGCACTGTCAACGGCATACGCGACCAGATGGCAGGCGTGTAATTGCTTCCAAGATCGCGTTACATATAACATGCCCTTACTGGTTAACTGAATGGCGATTACCAATTTTCGAGAAGATTCAAAGAAGCTAGCCTCAGCCATCCACTACACATCCAGAAAAGCGCTAAGCGGCCGTTTCATCCTATTGGGACTCATCAGTAGCGCGCAACCGCCGAATCCAACCGTATTCGAATCTATGACTTTACTCGTACAAGTCAACGATTTTCGCCACTGAGCCATGGGTAACGGCCTCGGACCGCCATGGTTTATATCTAACTGCGATGTAGCGCAGCTCATTCTCCACTGTCTTGCAGGTGGTGAACATACAGAGGAGTGGGGTGGTCTCAAAACTACGACTTCCATAGCAAGCCGCCACCAATCGTGATAGCAAGTGAGCTGCTAAAGCGAGTACTGATTATTGAGGAGTAGTAGAAGATTTATGGTGTTTTTGTGAAGATTGATCGCAGCTTGGCTCAGCCAGCCCTGCCCTCTGCAGGTTCATACCTGCATGGCTGTGAAGGATGCGCCGTGCTGTATCACAGCTAGACATTAAGCATGGTGGTCCGCCACGTTCACCCATAGCTCAGTGGTGTAGATCTATTTCTTTTAAGAGTTAGGTCATGGTTTTGGATCCGGTAGGATTCGGCAAGTGCGCGCTGGTGACGAGTCTCCGTAAGATGCAAGGGCGTCTAGTGCTTTCCTAGATGAGTGATCGTTGTCAAACTGAGTCTAACTGCGATGAATCTTCATAAAAACATAATCAATTCCTTCATTACTCACTGACGATTATCTGTGTGCGCGTCCCCGTTTAATGTCATATCAAGCTGATGGGTAGGTCGAGAGGCTATTGGAACCAGTATCATACGAGAAACAGAAATCAGTCCTGCTACCAAGGATATTTCGCCGCTGTCGATAATGTTTTACTTGGATGAGCTTTTCTTGTACAGGATGTGCACAATACAGGAGTAGTTCAAGATCACCTCTTACTCCAAATCATGTATTTCAAATGAGCATGGCATTCGGACGCAGGTGAAGAGTAGAACGCAGATAGCCACATCAGTTTACAGTGCATATGTGGGTTAGGATTAATCGCTGCTAAGAACACATCGCGAAGCTGACGGTAGAACGTATGCCCATCCACCTGGTAGTTTCGCTGTTACCACTCTTACAGTGCTCCAAGGGGGTAAAGAATAAAACATGAACAGCTGCTTTTCTTATATGTCATGTTAGTACAACTTTGACTCAAGGGCAATCTTGTTCCACTTATTTAAAACAGTAAGATTCATCAGGATGTAGTTCTAATTGTTGAACGTACCTGTCTCAGACACATCTTCGATACGTGCTATCCAGAGTGATCGGCTTTCACCTTCGTTGATGATTCGTATCTCCATTGTGCGTGAAACATTAATATACACAGTCCCAAAATCCAACTGGCCTTGGGTGAGAATTCTCAGACTTGGTCCAAAAACTTTTACTCGCAACTGCAGTTTGTAGGTATTTACGAACAGCGGATTGAGACAATCTGAGTTCGGCGAAAAAGCAACTAAATCCAACTGCCCGCTTTGTTCCGAGTATACTTCAGCAGGCTGGGTTGAAAAGAAAACGGATTTATCCACTGACAAATTCATACTTGTAGCTTCTACTTGAGATCATGGACAGCAAACGGTTGCAATTTGGCTTAATACATAAGAACTACGCATGAGACAAAACATGTGTCCAACTTGCCTACCTCAAAGTAGTAACCAAGGACGCCAACCAGTCAAGGCACGCTAAGGCATCAGTCGTCCATGGTGGTCAAAGTAGGTTGGTTGGGTGACGGTTCTCATTATTAGACGCGCAGTTGGTTCCCTATAGGAATCCGATGAGCATACTAGCCAGACGAAACCTAACTGAATCATGCGTTTTCCCTTTCACAATACGATTAACAATAACCGAAATGCAATCGCGAGCTTAACTGTGAGTGTGATCAAACAATATTGAGGTGCAATTTGAATGACTAAAATTTAATCCCTACGTCTGACATATAATTGTTTTGAACGCGCACAGCTCACTTCCTCCGGCTTACTCTGACAATAAGGGTAAAATTAAGATGGCGATGATTAGGGTGACGCAATGCAACTCTGAACGCTGATCCGATAGGTATCCGCTGACGGCGTGAACCGTAGGTGTGCGATGGGGGAGAAAGCTGGAGGTCTGCGCAAGCGCGGAGGTACAGAGGAGCATGAAAGATCGTTCGTTTTGTGTTGAATCCAATTTATCACGTGTTCCCGTATTTGAAAACTGAAACACTTATCGGTTGTCTATATAGTGACCGACCCACAATCACGCATAAAATGGCATATACTGTGTGAATTGGACCAGAGAGAATGAGCTCTCTTTCTCAAAATTAGAGGTAAAATATGAGTTCAGATACTGTGGGCAAGTTGAGCAACACAGCGTAACGAAGGTAATACGTTTAGTGGTCTTCCAAATAGCATAATCGTTCTTGAAAGGTAAGTTAATATAAGACTTTTTCTTGGATCTTGTATGCATCGACTCCGTTATCTGGGCTCCACCAAAACATCTACAGGTCTTAGGCAAGTCAACAAGGAGGTATCACTCCCCTCCTTAAATTTACTAACAAAACTACGATTTCATTTCCACTCATTTCCACTGTTTCACCGGGCGACGGCACTTACCAAGGAGGAACCGATAGACTTTTCACATGCAGATGTGAGTGCGGTTTATCACATACTCTTCAACGGTACTTAAAGTCGTCGTGCGTAAACCGCACTCTCCAAGTACTATTCACCATTTCGTCTGGGATATTTAGACCTCAAATTTCACGACTACGAAACAATTGCTCTAAGCAGCTCACCGAATAACGTGCCCAAAATAACTTTGTTCCCCAAGAGCTTGTTGTGCTTGCAAGGTCAGGGTAGTCTTTCGTAACCCCAATCAACCACGAACAGGACGGGGCATCCGCTAACCGCGCATGTGCACAATTCAGCAATGTGACCAGATCCTCTGTCCGAAATTGAGGTGTTCCTACTACTGGCTGAAGGTAATCACTACTGGAAATGCTGTTCCCAAGCTCACTAGTTACTCCACAATTGTCGCAACCACCGCACTGTGTCAGCCCCAGTGACCACTTGGCTTTCGTGCGTATATCACAGTTTTATTACTCCTCATTTCCTCATTCGGTTGTCACACCATCGATCAAAGTTGCGTGTGTGACAGTGAACCGACTGTTGCAGAGTTATTCTTCCTGAACCACGATTCCAATAAGCCCAACTGATTTCACACACCACGTGCTCAGACTTACACCAGTAACTGTTAGTTGTGCTTAATTATGTGACGGCTTGCGACAAAGGAAGATTGAGGCTGTACAAGAAGCACAAAATCCTACTGACATGACGTTAAAAATTATGTGCCAGATGTTGACTCCCAGGTCAGATCTTCCTTTTTAGAGCCAGAAATCCAGCGAACAATACAACTATCGGTGTCTTTGGTGACCCTACTACAAGGAGACGCATCACATGTCACCCAAACTCACTGCACTGCGGTGAGCCTCGACTAATTTGAGTAACAATAAATTCCGTCACAACATCCCATGGGACACCGCAGGATGCGAGTGACTGTCAGGTTTATTATGACCCGGAGTATCTGCTGCTGTAATGTAGCCCAGCTGAATCTCGGGATCCGGCGAATCCCCTAAGAAACCAGTAACAGCCGATCTCACGAGATTCGGCCAAGTCTCATCCTGCTGTCAACACTTTTCGCTAATTTTCTAACGCACAAGGTACTCCCTTGCTTCTATATCAACGCACAAGGCCTTTTCAGCAAACTGATAGAACTCCGGCTGCGGCAAACCTCGATGTCATGGGAACTCCACTTGTTAACCGAGACATGATTGAGTGAAGTGGTCACTGACGCCAAAATCGTACCACCTGGGAATGTCTATTGTGCGCGAAGATGAATCGAATAAAGGAAGTGATGTACTACACTATGACTCAGCGAGCCACATCTTGATCCCATCAACAAGCCGAAGGTTCCGATTGTCGATGCGTTTTGGTGCCGACTTCACCTGAGACGCAGTGACACATGTGTAAGAAGTGTCGTGTAGTTTCTTCCGTCCAGCACTTCAGAAATACACAACCGCCTAACCTGTACTCCGAAGACTATTCTCGCACAGCCACATTCGCCTGGTTGGTGACCTCAAGCTTCGCACCCTAGAAACCTTAGCCTGTATCGATGCACACTTTCAAATGGAAATACAGGAGCTGATCATTAGAGTACCAGTCTACCATTACGTTACTTCTCCCACATGATCCAAGAGGGGGAAGAAACACGGTATCCTAAATCTCCTGTTCATCGAGGAGGATCATATGATCAAAACGGTATCCATAAGATTCCCTTGGGCCGCAGCGATCATGCAACACTATTGTTCAACTACATATGTTAGGCAAAGTATTTCGAGGAATAGGCCGACCCTTATTCAAAGCACTATCCATTACGGCGTTCTTACTACACTCATCAATGGTATCAACTAGTCATTTCTAGCTTAAGTTTCATCGATGTAACCTGATTGGATTCTAACAATCAAGTAAACAAGTAAGTAACCAGTGGGAATATTTTGGGGTTGCTCATCCCAACATTGGCACCCCACGACCGCGGTTTCGTCCTGGTCCGGACTCATCAGGTGGAGATAGCCTGAGATAGGGTGGAAATCAGTGCCTAGTGGTTCACGGCTGACGTCATTGAGATCCGCGAGCAACGTTTGGTACAGCTGAAACGAAATCGAAGGTGGGCTTGGAGAATCCGCTGTGTGGTTGGGTTGGTACAAGCAACCTCTACTGAGACCTGGGTTCACCTGAGGTGGACCTCGGTTATTCCAATCACAAGGACCGTAGGTGAACCATGGTCTCAATAGAGGTTGCTTGTAGCAACCCAACTGCATAGCGGATTCTCCAAGTTCAACTTTACTTAACCAGTGCTTCGAGGAAGATGCTCCGCATTCGATGAGAGTAAAACCATTCATACGCAGCAGGATAGGAAGTGTATTGTCACAAACGATTTATTCTGTTGTAAATACAAGTAGTCACCGGGTGCTGAAACATGGTTAGGCTAACATTTCTATCGGAATCATTATGCGAACCTAGTACACGTGAATACACTAAAGCACCGACAGGATCTAGCCGATAAACTCTCTTCAAGCCACAAGCCCCTTTGCAGACACGTCAACAAACTCCTTAAAGTGAACTGAGGCATTCCTGCCCTACGCACATCATGTGGACCAGCACAATCTGTAATGAAAGCGGCCAACGCTCTGTCAGCTAGTCTGCACATGGTCCCAGAGCACAACTTCATTGCCTATGTTGTTCACGTGAATCACACCATGACTAGGACTTATCCATATCTCGTGTATGGCCCCAGATTTTCTGAAGAGGTTGACTGAGATAATGAACTCTCAGTTTGTTCGAAGAAAGTAGAAGCCACGATTAAAATTCACGCACAATAATATGCCTCAGTTTGTTGTTGTAAATCAGCATCAACAGGTGATGGCACAGGTGATTCGTGTTGTTTAAAACTTACTAAACCATGATTAGGTTACCACACAAACGGCGATAATGTCCATTGAAAATGTCAGGCACACTGAGGCGTTGTTCGTGTGACAAGTGGTGTAGCCCCTTGACATTTTTCGTCGGCCGACGTTGTGGAATCTCCTAGGCCGTTAGATCCAGCCTTAGCCATGGGCGGCCAACACGATTCGGTAAAAATGTACCCCAATGTTCCATGGTGAATCGTCAACACACACACACACACCCTTGACGGAACCCACACCATGCTTGAATTAATCCATGTACCCTTCAGGACAGCGAATGTGGTGAAAACACAACTGTTTTCGCATATGTATAATTCTACTGTCGTGAACGACATAACACCGAAGGCAGCAAAACAGCCTCCATAAAATACCGTCGAAACAATATGTCGGCACTTTCAACAATGCCTTGATGGGATGCAGCTTCCCACAATGTGGAAACATGGAATAGTAAGTCCTATTTATAAAAGTGTCAATCGTGCGGAACCTTCGAACTATCGTGCAATAATTTTTCCCCCCGTTGCTATCCAAAGTAATGGAAAGTATTATCGTAGAGACGTTCATGTGGTACCTTGAGAGCGACAACATCATAGTGCTACAGCAGCACGGATTCCGACAACCTGGATTATGTGCTGCAAACTTGCCCCTAGCCCGAGCAAGCTCCACTGAGTCGGACGATACCAGAGTATGTGTTGAGGTCGTATACCCGGACATCTCTAAAGCGTTCGACCATATGGACCTCCGTATACACATTCACAGGTCTCAAAGCTGTGGAATAACTGATCATGCCCTAGACTGGATAAACAAACTTCCCATACAATGGAAGCTGAATGTGAGGGCTAGCAGCACTATTTCCGATCCGAGCAAATTCTAGTTTGGTGCACCTAATGGTCGGTTCTGCGACCACTTTTATTTCTAGTGTACATCAGCGATCATTCTAACGTACTCCAATTAAATATACTACTGGCTGTGGACAATATTCATACCTAACGTGACGTCAAGAATGTAGACGATCATACGACACTGTAGATTGATCTCGATTGGGTCTATACGTATTTATCCGAGAACCAACTCCAGTTTAACGTACGAAAGTGTAATGGTTTGGACATACGTCGTCTGTGTCTTCATGTTTATCGACTGGGAAAATGTTAACTACAACATGCTATGCATAAAGTCGATCTCGGAGTAATTGTGCAGGATGAACTTGGCTGCCCGAGACAGGTAGAAAAGGCATCAGCAATTCGGCCGCCTAAGAATGGCTTTCGGAAAGTTTGAACCTTCTATCTTTCCGCAAATCAAGAACGCCTATGTGAGGCTTCAAGTGAAATATGTTATCCAAGCCTGAGGTCCCTGTTGTAAATACGAGGTTTCTATGCCTGAATTTGCACAACGTAGAGAGACCGAACTCTTTATAGGACTGCTTCAACCCTCTTGTCAGCTCAGACTGCAAGTCTTTTGGGTTCTACAACGGCAAATGCCGGTTTCAGCAAGGAGACTTCATCGTGGATGTACCTAATACTAGTGAACCCAAATTGTACCTGTCGCAATCTGTCGCAAGTTAGTCACAGTGCTAACTTGAGAGGCCACTAGCTCAACTTGGCCACGCAATACAGTCGACTTGATTGCTGACAAACCTTTTGTTCCCTACGGGTGCCCTGAACATGGAATCCCTTTGCAGCTCATATCACGTTTGCGGCTACATTAACGCTGTTCGAAAAACGCCTTACCGATACCATATCCTATATGCATTCGGTGATTTAGTCTGCATCAATCTGAAGACGAAATGATGCGAACCAAACTTCTTGCTCATTAGCCATCCCGTAAGGTAGCAGTGAAGACATGTGCAGCAGTGCTCATCTAAACAGTTTGGTGAATCATCCAATTTGTCTCCTTTTTCCTCTTTTTTTCTGCTTTTATAATTATCACGCCGCTCATTCTATGGGACTTGCCACAAGCATCCAACATTTAACCGTTATAAATAATTGTTCATCGCCATTCATTTGTGCATGCTGCATAGTCATTTAAGCGCGGAAAGAGGAATGCATAAAAACCGAAAATACGCTATCAGGATATGATCCGTGTAATTTGTCACAGATACAATGGAAAAAAAACTTGTAGCAGGTTATCAGCAATGAAGTGACTCCCGAAGAATAATTGGCACATAACAGACGCAAAATGTCCGCGTGAGGGACACAGTTGTACACAAACCCCTGGTCATCATCTGTATGGCGTTGTAATAAATGCGGCTCTGTGTGCCTAAGCTGATCAATGGAACAACGCTGTACCATGGGTAAAAAGCAATTGCTTATCAAGTCCTGCAGGACGACCAGAATGAAAACCACAATATTATGTAAAGGATAACATACTGATAAAACGAAAAGCGCTTTGGTAAACAGACCGCAATGTTCACACAGGCATGCAGAAAAGAGCCAACCTCGATTGCGTAGGTTAACGCTGGTTGTGCAACGGTGGTAACATTATGTCGTCTGTTGGTGCACACAGGCTATATCTCGTAATATAGGTGAGTTATGGAAACGTAAAGGCGGCGGAACTAACATAATTTGGGAGGGCTGGCAGTCAAGAAGAGAATAAACGTTTCTCCGACATTCTAGCCGGCTGGATTGCGTGGCCAACTTGAAATGGTGGCCCATAGAATCCGTGTTGTGAATGAGTTGCTGTAGGTGGCAGCCGACGTGACTGGGGTTCCACAAACTCTGGTAGGCCATTATTTAGTCTTCACATAGGCAGTCACTGACCACTGAACAATCTTAAAATCCTCAAGATAACTTGATATCACAGGCGGAACAACCGACATTTTGCTTGGTGACTCTTTACGGTAGAGTCCTGAGCGATGCGAGATATTGATATTGCCAGGGCTACCAGGCCTAGCTTGTGTATTCCACATGAGGCCGCACGTATGTGTTAAGCAACGGCGAACAGACAGAGGGATCAAGCCGCCCGAATGCCTAGCGTAGAATGCCAATGTGTTGGTTTCCAGTCTCTGATACCTTCCCTGATTGTTCTGAGCAGCTCGGATCAATATGGATTAATTTCCTAAGGTCGCGCTCCTGGATGACTGCTTGAAAGACATGGTCACCCAGCTTGCTTATGATGTTCGGCTGGTGATGAATGAGAATCACGTTACGTTTGGATGAATTAAATAGGAGTGGTTTATGGATTGAATATTCATAGGTCCTGTCCAGGTCTCGCTAAAGTGCATCGTGATTTCCTTTGTCGGCGATCGACCACCACATCTTAACCTCATCAGTGAACAAGAAGAAATCAGAAGGAACCAACCGCGTAAGCTCAATAGTTTAAACGCGATACAGATGTGGCTCCATTACTTCTCCTTGTGGAACGCTGCATTCGAAATGAATCTGATTGGATAGCGCACAAAGAACCAACGCGTTTGCTGACGAACCGTGCCCGGACCAGCGTTCCCATAAAATCGAGGCAAGCGGCTTCATGCCTGTGTTTGCATGGACATCATAGCGAATTTATCGTTGCGCAATCTAATTTTTGGCAAAGTTAACATTTAAATCCGTAACCTTCGAATTAGCCTTCTTAATGGCATTCCTAAGTGATAGCATTTTTCTATTCATGTGCATGATAAAGTTTGCATGTAAAGAACGCACACATTGCAAAGCGCCTAGTACTGTCGTTAAGATCGGTAGTGAAACGTCTACAAATCAACTGTCTGTGTTATAAAGAGTACGAATGGTACCCGCAGGTATCGCTGTTTCCGTATATCTTATTTGGATAGTGGCTTTCACGCACACTCTATTGCCTCTAATACAAATTGTGCGTGCCTCATTCGGGTCCATCGCATTTATTTTTTGCAGTGCATTATGATCCGAAAACTTATTGAGATCAAGGTCGAATGAGGTGCTGTTTAGTGCTATAAATTCGTGCCGATAGACACATGCTTCCGCTGTTTCAAACGCCAATCAATCAACTCTAATGGTTACATCGCCCATACATGTGCTAGGTGCGGGGGAAGTGCTTTATATTTTTCGTCCGCTTAATCAATTTTATCACGAAACCATTTGTTCATTTTGTTTGAACTGACGAAAAGCATACTAGAGTATAGTTCTTCGAAATCCGCGCTCACAGCGTCCCGATTTTTGGTTGTGCTACTTCTGCTTGTGTACGCTGCCATCCACATTGGTTGAAAGCTTGATATGTACCGTGGAATTATGATTGAGCATCTGCTCCTACTTTGTCCGACGTTCACAACAGTTATATAGTTCTTCGTAATGTGCCTTGACTAAGAGTTCTTGTTTCCTAAAGTTTTTGCATTACCTAAGGAACTGAAGTCTTTCGTACCTGTTAGACCACTACGATCCCAATCGACTAGTGCATGCCGATTATGGAGTGAACTTTTCACCCTGTAGTTTTCAGCAGAAATAACATAAATGCACCACAAAGAGGCATCAACCTTCCGGGGTACTTACTGTGACACTCCTTGGCGTCTTCGATTGTCGTATTCTTCCAGCTGATGTGATGGATGATGAGGTGAGTCGGAATTGCACCACAATCTGTAATAAACAGAGTTTATTGTTCCGATTCATTAGAAAAGTGCAGTAGAAGATTTTACGCCTGCGTCGCCTTCCATTTCTAGGGTGTGCTTAATAGAAGGGATAAAAACTTTCCCACGGAGAAGCCACGAGATATCATTCACCCATCAGTGGAGACATTGTCGTTCCTTTCACTGGTCTGCACACGAACACATGCCCTGAGTGATCATACTCAGCACTATGATATTAATGGTAACAAGATCAAAACTGTGTAAAGATTTCTTTATGAGGCGCTGCAAAAGTCAAAAACCGAACCAATGTGCTATAAATACATTTCATTCTCAATCAGAGGAAGCTTCGTTGAACTACAGGGAGAAATATAGTAATTTTCACAGGGATTCCGATACACCACATGAACGTAATGACCTGATACAATCTGAGATATATGAGGTTAGGTGTAAATCTGTATGCCCGCTGTTACTCGCCGCGTAAGCAGACGACTGGGAACTGAGTAACTATCCAGATGAAATAAACGCTTATATAGTCAAGACTAACACCGGGTGAAGTTAGACCATAAACAAGAAAAAGACGCTAATTCTAAAAAGGCTGGGTTACCATAGCGTGTTTCATAGTTCCTGTTTCAAAGGATACCTAACACAGACGCTTTCAATGGTACATTTTAGGAACCCATCGTTTCGGTTAGGCACTGTACTTTTTTGCAGTCAGTGTCATTAATATTCATACCCGTGGTGTCCTGAAATCGCTGTGTATCTGCTCGAGCTAACAACGCACCACAATGGGCCAGAGATGAAGTGTGAACAATTCACCAAAACAGAATATATCTGCATAAAAAGCATCTTGCCGAAGCGCTGGTTCCCCTATGGAATAGAAACTTATCAAGTGTGAGCAAATCTGCTTTTTAATTACTAGTGTGCACAGGCCTCTGGGGAAAATGGATGAGTTTAAAGGTATAACCAACCGTCGCGAAAACTCGCAGTTAAAGGGAGGAAATTCAGCTCCAAGAGGTGTTGGAGATGCCGCCGTCGTAGCAGTTGACGGATTTGTTTACTTTTCTGCCGACCACCCACGCATCTATCGGAATTGCGCCGGTGGTGTCACCAGTCTTAGTAAGGCTTCTCGCTGCATGACAGTGAAATATTGGCTTTAATTTTCGTCACGGCGTATCGTCTGCTTACTCTAAAAGTGCATATTGAAACGTGTAGGTGGATGCTGATCAGTTTTATTGTTCATAATTTATACATCCCCCATGTTGCTTCAACTCAGAAACAGACAAATTTTACGGTGACTTTATAGCTACCGTCCAAAAGCAAATCGACCATTCCCTGTGTCTATCGGTTGCTGATTTCAGTATAGTCAATGCCACATTCCTTACAACTAGGGCTACAGAACATTGGAAAACGACTCAGCAGGTCATAGACAAATCTGAAATTAGAACTTGTCAATAATATGAGGATATTTTCGGTCGACCGTCGGGCTCCACTTAACAAACACCAAGGATGTTACTTGCTGCAAGTATCGCAGATGTAATGGACGACTATCCCTTCCTCCAAGCATAGTGCGACTAAAGGAACTGGTTTCTCGTGCAGCTTTCAGTCTGTTTTACACACAGAAGTGCCACAATATTTTAAACAAATGACGAGTTATCTAAAGCTATGAGATAATCTCTCCTATGCAATAGAAACCATTTCATACGCGCTTATCGGTTTTCTCTATCACACTTCAAGAAGCGGGTTTTAATAGGCAGAGAGCGTGCCTTAGTGAAAACCCTTTTCTGCGCGAATTAAAGAAGAATTGCACCGCCTCAACCACTTCTTTATCCAAACAGACTTGGGAAACAACAGTAGCCGTGAGATTTGACGGATAACGAAACAACTCAGCGGAGTCACTAGGGCATGGCACAAATTCTGTCACGGAGGCAAACTAACTAAATCGAACTTTTGCCGGTTCAGCAGTGGTTGACTTTGACGCATCATTTACACTGTTTCTGTTAGATCTTCCCTGTTTCACTATTCCGAATTAACCACCCAGAAATTTCTCCGCAGCAATTCTAGCCCAGCCGAAGAAAAATCAAAATTCCAACTGCCTTGACCACGAAAAACGTGTTAAGAAAAACTCTGCCAACGTAGCCAGAAAATGCCGCCGAAAACACTGTCCTCTCAGCTCTGAGGCAAAAGTCCAATTCGCCGGGTGTTTGAAAACGCATTCGTCCGCTCGATCGATTGCCTGATCGACCGCACGGTAGGCGATTCCCTTCAGCCCAGCTTTCAATCATCATTATATATTTTTCCTTTTTTATGTTTTTATCTGATTCTCGGATAGTTTCAGTGACCACCTCTTTCAGTTGACGTCGCAGCATTGCACAAGAAGCTGAGCCAACTGCACTCAGATGAGATAACTGTCCTCATGCACTTTGCGATCACTTGGCCAGCATCTAGCTGAGTTGTACTCAATGTGCCTTAACCTAGGATTGTTGGAAAATTGCTAGCATACGCCAGTATCGTAAGGGCTAGAGTGATATCGGCTTTTGTGTGTGCTTAGGTGGCTTTGCAGGCCATTTATATTCTTTAAGTGATGCTCGCAACGTTCCGTTTAGAAAAGCCACATTAGTTAGCATGAGTAGGTTCAAAATCTTCACAAAACGCAGTGGCTTGTCCAGTGCATTCAGTGGTGTCGTCGCTAAACATCAAGAACAAATCTACGTGAAGCTGCCTTCTTGAATCCAGGAACGCTTGCGGCGGTATTACTCTTGAAGTGCTTCTGGTTATCAACCTTCCCTAATCTACATATCAAAGGGTTATTTAGCCAATCGTACTCACGTTCCCAGATATAGCGGCAGAAGCTCATCACCGCTTACCATGACCCGATGTCCTTCAAGGAGCTATTCTGTCTCCATTCCTATTCTCCATGTGTCATGGCTCCATACCTGTCCCCCAAAAAGTCGGCCCACTGAAATATGTTAATGACGTAACCATCGGCGTGACTTACCTAACTGTACGATCCTCAACTAGCTGAACATTGTTTGAGTGAACTTGGGCAATTGTTGAAATCCCAGTGTTTGACGCTGAATGCAGCATGTCACGAACTGTGGTCAACTTCACCTCGCTAGTGAAAGCTTGCGCTTCTCTATGTCAGTAAACTATGTTCGAGTCACAAGGCTATTATTTATCGTAATCACTTACTGTGAATAAAATATTTACCAAAGTCATGCAGTTGTCGTCTCATTTCTGTCGATTGCAATCATTTTCCGTGGAACACAAGTTGATTCTGTAATTCATTACAGTGTATTCTGCAACACTGAACCTAACATGATCATGCCTATACAGGTGTGCCTCGCATTGTCGAGAATAAAATTTTATTTAATTATTTATATACTGTTCTTCTGTGATTTTTCCAGCCCTATTGTGTCAATATTTCAAACTGCCTGACAGGCCGCTGAGGCCCTTGTCTCGCTGTCGTAGCATTCCAAAGCCCACTTCGTCTCAAACAATTTTATCCAACCCTGATAGTTTTTGAACGAAACGCTTCAAAAATATCAATCTTAGCTACTTTCTGGATACTGTAACTCTAACGGTTCATTTACCGCATCGACCAGACAAAAGTACAAGGATTGCGTTATTCATTGAACTTTTATCTTTTGCTACTACCGCTATTGCAGCGGTACGTTTCCACGACAACATGTGTGTTATGCTTACAATGTACCCTTCCAGGGTACATAAAAGTGCATTCTGGACTTGACTTGATTTTAAGCACTTGCACGGATTATTCTTTTAGTCTACCTATAGTTGGCAAAATATAGTCACTACAAACCGCGATTCGTCTCGAGTAGAAACAGGTGCGTTGCAACTGGGTATGTGTATAGAACGGCAAATTTAATTGACATCGTTTATGCTACGACGCACCAAAATGGTTTCGCTTAATCTCGTTTCGCCAACAGATCTCAGTATCATGCATCAGTACGATGTCAGATTCAATGCGAACTTGGAAGTTCTCTGTTGATACAGCATCACTGGATACCGTTACTTGGAAATAAAATACTCGGTTAACTTTTGTGATCTACCTGCTCTGTGTGGGATGGATTCACGACCAGTTCCTTTGTTTTCACTAAAACTCCACCAGACTTGGCTTCCGTAAGAGAACCATTATAATCCACAAATCCAAAATGTGTGTCTTCACAAATCGTCATCCGGACTTGTACAGGAGTGCTGTTCGCGCAGCGGATGCCAACAGATCTCTGAACCGTTGTTTCACTCAGCAATGCGAAAGGTGGTAGTTGTTCAACTGCGCGTCGGTCAGCTTTAGAGGTAAAAGGCTGAATAGGTTGTTGGGGCGAATTCGATGGGAGTAGATCTCCCAGCGTAGCAGTGAAATGGAGGCATCTGGTTTGCATTTCGGAAAGAGAGTTAGACTTCGAAATCGAGTCATCTAATACAAGACATATGCTGTGGGGGGGGGGGGGGGGGAATGAGGCAAAAAAATGAAGAGCAATCTTGAATGTGGTGTTCACCATTGACCACTGCGCTGCGCAGTACGAAGGCCACGAACTGACCGATCGAAGTTTTGAAATGATCTACGATGAACGAGGATTTTTGACGGGCAAAAATGCGGTGCTTAACAGGTCCCTTAGGATGACGTAAGCAGGAATTATAAAATGATTATCTAGTAACAAGAAAAAGGGAAACTTCGGGTTTGAGGTGACTCATCGTGTTATTAACATGGGTACATTGGCTGGTCTGCTCAATACTACGTAACGGAGAGTAATGGTGAGCGCCCTGTTTGCGTTCCTACCTCTTTCGATGGAAATGGACAGTGTCACGTAAGGTAAATGGGTGAAAACAAAATGAGAATGAAGAAGATTCCACGGTCTAAGTACCAGAAGAAAACAATCAACTCAACTGTAGCATGTGCTCCATTTGAGCTAGTGGCCCCTCAGGTTGGTACTATTGCTGACTTGCAACAGATCGCGACAAGTGTGCTTGGGGTTAGTCAGTATTTCGTATCCCATAATAAGGTCTCCTTGCAGGCACCGTTATTTACAATGTACAAGCCTATATGTTAGGGAGGTACTTATTGCACACGCATATATTGGAAACCGTTCTTAGTTACCGATTTGTTTCTTTCAGCTATCGATCTTAGTGACGTTTGTTTAAACACATCATTCCGATAATTTTATTGGCGCCTTGTGCTCACTGGTTTTGCTCTAGGATCGTAATGTCACTTAGTTGCTAACACTATCTTTTCGTGCTTCCGTGTCTCTTATTGGTTCCTTTGCTGATCACTTTTCATTGCCTTCATTGTGCTTGAATGCTTTTAGTAATATACTTGGCTGAAATGTCTTGTAGTAGCTTCTCTTCAGAAAATTCTTAAAACTAGTTGAACAGACATGATTCATTGCATACGATTGTTTCCTGGCACGTGTTTGGATTTCTTCTTGCTGTCGTGGGGTGAAGCAGTCAGCTGCGACACAACACTAGAGCGTGCAATCTGCCTTCAGAGGGGAGGTGAAACAGTCCTCTAACGATTTTCCTCGCTCTAAGTTGTGGAGTTTCAAGCGCATCAGCATCGTGTGTGGGCCGTGGTCTCCAGGCCTGGACGCTGGGGCTGATTAGAAACGTTACTGCGTATGTGTTGTACCTATCTTTAAGGATATCCATTTCATGCCTGTTGATGACAGCATAAATTAACTCGGTCTGTGGATGTTAAGTATTCTGGTATTCAATGTAAGTAAGTATACGAGTTGGCTGGCTTGCCGAACAACCTCCTCGTGGTGCCAGTTGGGTGGTTCGGGATTTTCCCGTTCCAGCAAATGATTCGGCGGCAGTGTTCCAGGACGTGGTGGGTTTTCGCCTGGCAAGCGTTCTCCCTATAAAAAGCCACATATGTCCGTTTAACAACACTGTGACGTGGCGGACGTGACTCGGCACTCAATAAAGTCACTGCCCCTTGCTTCATCCTGGCGAAGCATTGTATTCCAGCAACCTTATGCTGTACTTCTGAGGAGCATTGGGCCCCTGTTTGACAAAGGAACAAACGAAAGGCGTATGAATTGAGCAATCAGTCACCGGCTCCTAATGGGCGCGATTCCCTGAATTCGCTCCGCTGCCTTGCGGACAGGCTTTTTAGCCAAAGGCTCGGGGTGGTGTCCCCTAAGTCAACACCCTACTTCGGCTTGGGCAACCGGGTGTATCTCGCCCTCTGAGGAAATCATGGACATGGTTGTGTTGTGTTTTATTTTACTGTTTCTGTACCTTCGTTTGAATCCCATGGTTTCTGATGGCATTATGTCTGTTAGCAGACTTTTGCAAATATATATATACTATACCATTTTGAGTTGTTCTCAGGGTTAACGGGTACCAATTGGATGTGAGGCTGTCCGCTTGACTAGGTCTGTGATTGCTTCAATTTTACTCCTTATTCCTCACACTACAAAAACTAGCATCTGTAACTAGCAGTCTCCGGAGTCCGTCGCAACGAGACTGGACCTTAACGTGGTGCGACGGTTTGCGAATCTCATTGACCCATTGAGCTATACTGAGTGATGACTCCGGGCACCTTGAGAGCTACTCCTACCAGGTTGGTCAATGGTGAGAGGTCAGACAAACTCAGTCTCCTGGTCCTCCAGGTTGGGGTTTGAAATGGGATGGCGTCCATTTCTGTAAAACTAAATCATTGCCACCTCCCCGCTGCCTTGCGGAAAGACTTTTGAGCCAAAGGCTTTGGATGACGATCCTAATCGACCTCCTGTCTATGTCTGGGCGACCTAGGAGTGTTCCAGCCTACATACAACCATGCTTTTTCTTCAAACATAAATTTCATCCTGCATCGAGCGTCGCGCAGATTATCAATGGTCGCCTTATCTGCTGCATACAGTAGCGCGGATAAGCGCAAACATAATGGCGTCTCCCTTCTTTCTTTTCCAGCTTTTTCTCTTACTTCCCAGCTTAATTGACAGCAACAGAAGTGCTACTGGAGTAGAACCATCTGCAGCCACCGTACCTATCGGACGCCTATCGGCAAAATCCCTTATAAGACCACGCTATCCCGTTTCCATGGCGACATACAACGTTCGCACTCTAAGACAAACAGGTCAACAGGCTGCACTCGCACGCACCTTGGACACACTGGGTATTGATGTGCGTTGTGTGTCCGAAACTAGGATCAATGACCCTAACGGGGGTGTTGTATTAACTACACCCGGCTTGTCCTATCGTTATTGGTTGCACGCATCCGGAGACGCCGATGCAGCACTCACGGGTCAAGCTGGTGTAGGTATCATTCTAAGCTCCAACATTGTGCCATCGTTGGTTGATTGGATTCCGGTGAACAGCCGTTTATGTGCAGCCCGTTTGACGAATTCAGCTATGGTTGATTCACAAAGTAGTAAAAAACGCTGTTTGTTTGTGATTTTCGCATATAACCCACCGACTGCAGTTCAAATGTTGTCTAGGACACATTCTATCACGAACTGAACGCGCTACTACGCAGTGCTACTGGTTCAGATATTATAATAGCTGCAGGGGATATGAACGCACAACTAGGGCGTACGAGCTCTTCAGAAGCTCAGCTAGGTAGTAATTATGGGCTTAATTCCGAATGGACTGACAACGGTGAGCGTCTGCTGCAACTGTGTGCGGAGCACCAGTTGTTTCTTACTAGCACTGCTTTTAGACACAGTAGGCGCCGAAGTGCCACTTGGTGTCCTCCTGTAGCTGGTCAGCGATGGACCCAAATTGACCACATAGCCATAAGTTACAGATGGTGTGGTTCCATCCTGGATTGCCGCTCGTACTGGAGTACCTATGTCGACTCTGACCATGCATTGGTACGCTGTCGTTTCTCAATGAACTCTACCGGGAGGCGCACCAAGAGTCACCTACGATTTGCAACGGAGAAATTGTCACAGTCCTCGGTCAGGCAAGCCTATGAAGAAGCATTGCATACCGAATTTCCGCTGTCCCGTCCTAATGACACTGAGCTTCAGAGGAGTAGGATCTTGGCCGCCATGCACGACGCAGGAGTATCTGTTTGTGGCACTATCCTGCGTCACCGCACCAGTCACTGGATATCCGAGAGGTCGGTGAACCTGTTGGAATCTAGAAGACGCCTCCCGGCTGGCTCTGAACACAATGTGAACAGACGGGCTATTAGGCGTGAACGCAAGCAGAGCGTACGTGCTAACAACGAAGCCCGGTGGATCAGTCGGGATCAAGAAATGGAAGAGGCAGGAGCAGTAGGCAATTACCGCAATCTCTTCCAGCTGATACGCAACACTTGCCCCAGACAACCAGGCGTCAGTGACACAATCAGAGACAGCGCGGGTGCGCTGATACACAATAAGGAGCGCCGTATGGCTCGTTGGGCGCAACACTTCCAAGATCAGTTCAGCTGCCCCCCTGCTCCCGGACCTCTTTCTGCTCAGGTGATCCAGGACGAGCCATGGACCGTTTGTTTAGAGCCTCCGTCAGAGGCCGAGGTCCGAAACGCGATCACAGCCCTCAATCGTTTTCGTGCCGCTGGCCCGGATTCCGTCCCACCTGCACTATTTAAGAATGAAGGTGAGGTCCAATGCAAAGCACTGACCTCCTTATTCGTATGCATCTGGAAGGAAGAGAGTGTGCCGGCTAATTGGAGCGAATCAATTATAATGGCAATATACAAGAAGGGCAGTCGCACAGACTGTTCTAACCACAGAGGTATTAGCCTAACGCTAGTTGTGACAAAAGTACTGGCCTCGATTCCCGTTCGTCGCCTCACTGCGGAAGGGAGATCTCGGATTAGGGAAAAGCAGGCCGGTTTCCGCTTATGGCGTGTCTGTATAGACCATATATTCCCTTTGCGGCAGGTGCTAGAGCAGCGCCACGCATACCGCAGACCGACAATAGCTGTGTTCCTCGATTTCACAAGTGCGTTCGATTCAGTCGATCGATCGATTCTGTTCGAAATACTTGCGCGGAAAGGTGTTCCCACGAAATATGTGAACATCCTTCGTGCTCTATACTCGAGCACTACAGACCGAGTCAGGGTTTACGGTGTCCTCTCGCATAGCTTTCCGACCACAAATGACGTTCGTCAGGGTTGTCCGATTTCTCCGTTTTTGTTCAATTTCGTCATGGATTCTGTCATGGAGTGTTCCCTTGCGGAATCTCACGATTTAGGTGTTGAAGTGCTGCCTGGTGAAAGATTAGCTGGTCTAGATTATGCGGACGATATCGTCTTGCTTGTCAACGATGTTGGGGTGGCACAATCAAGCCTGAATAGCCTGTCCAAAGTGATCCCATTATTTGGTATGCACTTCGCACCTTCAAAGTGCAGTGTCGCTGCAGGACCACCAGCCACTTGATGACCCCTTGATAACTAAGAACTCGAGGTGGTTGATCATTTCACTCATCTTAGCAGCTGCATCAGCAATGATGGGCGCATAGATACTGACGTCAGCTCACACATTGCAAGAGCCAGAGCTACCTATTTGAACCTGCGGCATCTTTGGCGACAGAAGAGAGTTTCCTCCGTCTGAAAGGCCGGGTATGCAAAGCCACAGTGAGGGCCGTTCTGCTCCATGGTAGTAAGACTTGGCCCCTTCGGTCTGAAGACCTGAGGCGCCTTCAAGTCTTTGATCATCGTTGTCTGCAAAGCATTGCTAGAGTCGGATGGCACCAGCATGTCCACAACGATGTGCATAGGCGAGTACTAGGTGTTGATACTCATGCTAGCTCCCTAGAACAACAGATAGCACTGAATAAGTTGCATTGGCTCGGGCACGTGCTACGTATGCCTGGTCACCGCTTACCTAGGAGGGCCTTGTTTAATCTGCCAGGTGTAGGATGGCGCAAGGCTCGAGGTGGACAGAAGTTGACTTGGCAGCGTGAAATGAAGTCGCTGACGACCAAACTAGGTACCGTTGGTCCGTCTCGCCTTCCGGACTGGAGTTCCCGTGACCCGCCTTGTGCTTGGCTCGAGACTTTACAGGACATGGCTCGCAACCGACACCAGTGGCGCATCTGCTGCCGTCTCCTAATCGGATTGTCTGTTTAAAGTGTGTTTGGTGCTGAGTTATCTGCGGGGTAATGGCTGATAATGACGCGTGGCAGTGAAAGCCGCACGGAAGCTGTCTCGCCGATGCTGCCTTATCTTTGCACGATAGCCAGCTGTTTGTGACTGTATGTTGTGTGCACAAGGTGTAGGCGCCTTGACCCTGAATGTTTACTTAGGGCAGTAAGGTTTTCGGGTAAGTCCCCCTTCTCTCGGTCTTCTTATTCTTTATTTCATACGTCCATGGTTGTATGGCAGTAAAGCATCAGTTCAAAAGGCTGATGTACTGCTGTTGATGATGATGATGATGATGATGATAACGAGTCTCCGGAGTGCCGCGGCTCCAGATTCAAGCAGTCACGAAGACACACTGCCGTATGTAGTTCGGCAAGCTGGAAAGGAAGGTAAGACCGGAATTTTCTATTACCAACGCTGAGTTATTACGACTAGTAACTGCATACCTCATTATAATGCGGGCAATAAAAGATCCACTTATCCAGCAATAACTAATGGCCGACATTTCGCAGGTGCTATTAACATCGGATCAAGCTTAGACCTGATTTGGTTACCAATGCACCGTGAGACAACAGCACAAGAAAAATATTCATCTTTGAGAGTCGGCTGGTGTTGCGTATCCGGACCCTAGTGTTGCTCGCAACAGCCAGGCGATTTTGCTCCCAAGGCATACTGAGCGCTAGCAGAACATGCGCGTTCCCATTTCATATCCCTGTAAAATGATATTTACTTCCATTAAGGAGGACAAGTAACTTTGCCACCACTAGTTGGTTTCTGTAGCGTATATCACAAACTTTTTACTCCAACCAGGCTCGATAAGATGCACTGCTAACCTCATCTATTAAACGTAACGCTGGGGTGATAGTTCTACACAATAGGGATTGCTTCAAGCAAACCGTAAAGACATAAAAAGATGGTAGTCAATAAGTTGGCTCCTTCAGAAAAGCGCTGGGACATGTGGGTCTTTATCATTTTACCCAAAAAGCTCCACGCTTATTTTCGTTCCCATACAGAATATGTAGCTCAAGGCTGGCAGCCATAACAAATACGGTTTCACCGAACTAGAAAATCCTCAAAGCCGTGTGACCGAATACGTCATCGGAATGCGTCAGGAATGATACGGACACAGGTTAAAATCCTCTGGAATATACAGCGAACGACGTCATCGCCTAGTAGACGGACTGCTAAAGAAGTGCCCGATAATGTGTAATCCAGCTTGTATGCTCTGCATTTTGGTTGGATGTTACAGTAACCTCAACCTGATAGGTCGCTCCCTGTGACCAATGGATTGGTATAGCAGCTAGGATTTTTGTGAAAGATTTACAGTTGTCATACTTGGAGCACACTCCCCGAATGGACAGCTGAACAATGCGTCAAATATGCCAGACTGTGCCGTACGAAATCTCCATTTTGCTTCCCAGAGCAAAACCTTGGCTTCACTAATCTACGCTTAGTTGGACTGTGAAACAAGGCGTAAAGCAGGAGCCGTATCGCACACACAAGTAAAAAAGTGGCGGCTGTCTTCTTGCCACTTAGGCCGTCTTGTTCTTTGCGATACATCCATTCATCCTCCCCCCATATGATTCCACGTGATTAATAACTGGCATAACCCTACACTCGCAATAAATTACTAGATATTTTATGACCACGTTTGGTAAACTATACACCCATCTTGTATAACGATGGGACGTCCTTCCTGAAATAGCTTCATTTGCTCCTGGACTGTGCGTTTCCCCAAAAAGCAGATGCTTGTTTAGACACATTCCAGACCTGGTGATTAAGAGGCGTACAAATTTAACCTCAGGCCAGTGTTGTGAGTTTTTGAGCGTATTGTTCTCCATAAAACAACCAATAACCTCTGGATAATGGATATTGCCCGCGCTATCTACTTACAGTCAAGCACCACAAAAAGTAAGTAGTAAACTTGGTTCTTGTCGGTGGGCACTTGGTGAGTACGCATTGTACAAGCATTGCACAGAGCAACGTATGCCGCTCTATTCTTTGTTTTGATGCATTGTCGATAGCCATCGCTTGGTACTCGCCTGTATTCATTATCGTTTTAGTCACGTTAGTGTCGCCGGACACAGACGGTGCACTGTTGACAACGGTGAACACAGAGCTAAATATTCTTAAGATATTGGCCAAAGGAAACATTCCATGCTTCGCCATCATGAAGAAAAACTCCACACACCGTGGTCCCGTACACACGTATGCAAAGACCGGAGTAACAACCACTTTGATAACAGACTATACGTCGCATTTGTCAAATACTTGTAGCAGTCACGCAACCCAGTGAGGTAGCATGCAGTACAGATCCTTGGTCGCTGCCAATCTATATTTGGTGTTGTAAGCTGTGCAGTTTTTTGATAGTGATTCCGACAAAAAGCTGGCTATGGCATAGCTCCTCCTTGTGTACGTCTGTTACTCGTCTCAGCATAACGTCAGCAGTAGAAAGCGGGCCGGCTGTAAGGGGTTCGTAACTCCACTTGTATTCTTCAACATGTTATTTCCTTCAGTTTACACTATTTATGACGTCTGGGTGCGGTGATGCACACAACACTCGTCGTCATTCCTCAGCTGTGGGAAGTTTACAGTCAAACAACTCTGAAGGCAGTTCTCACAAGCTGCGTCTTCTGGCCACTTCCACTTCACAATTTTAAGTTGCATCAAGTTAGTTATGGCTGGGTACTATCTCCGAGGTTATTGCTCACTGAGCTAGTTAGGTTCTCTCTTATTGCAGTAAAACCTCCGCAAGTTAACCTCTCAAGGGACTAGACCAAAGTGATCAAGGTAGAGAGCTGGCCAACTTACAGAGATCTGGTACCAAAAGGTTTAAATGGGGACATTCAAGGCAACAAAAAAACGGTCAACTTAGAAAGGTGGTCAAGATGTAGAGGTGGTCGACTTCCAAGGTTTTGCTGTACTTTAAAGGTAGCAGTTTGTTTGAAGAACTGCGTACGTTGTTTGCTCATCCGGTCATCATAAGTATGCTACCCAACACCTCTCATTTCAACACTTGGTTTGTAAATGGCTTAGGTAATCTCACACTGACTCAATCTCACCTATTATTAATTTTTGTTCAAATTAGTCGTACCTTGGTCTTTCCACTCCAGCACTTAAATCCACCCTCAGATGATCTGCCATGAGTGCTTGATTTCTCTTCACTCCAGACTCGTCGCAGTTGTCAAGATGTAAATAGCCAGAGGCACATGCGTGTAGTTTGGCTTTGTTCTGACCGTTCATGAAGTCCAAAGTATGTCTTGGGTCGAATGTTATTGACACTGCGCCGGACTGGTGTGCTCGAAGCGTTAGCTGCTCAGGACTAAATGTGAACGGAGACTTGCGGGAGATAGCATCGGTTGCAATGCGAGATCCGCCCGACTGCCAAATAAGTCGCCCTTCTCTAGGCCGGATAAGCACATTTACCAGGCGCTGATTGAAGGGTCCTTTAGGGCAGTAAAGAGGAAAACATAGAGAAGACAGGATGTTAAACAATTTCTTATACTGAAGCAAGGAAACACATTTTCAGAAGCAAATATGCCCAAGTGACTAGTTTCTTTTGTCCTTAAAAATGGGGCAGTTGTAATGATACGTCCTCTGGTGGAATCTGGATGTCGCAACACTGTGGCAGCTGAGTTTATCAGGTATATTTCTGGCCGCGTTTGCCTTGTAGACTGTGCAACGAAGTAAATTCTTTCCGCTGCTGATCTGTTTTGTAGAGTTCAAACGCTTGAGACCGTTCAATCGACGGCGTCAACCGCAGCGTTTCTAAACCATTCATTCCATTAACTGGGATGGGGGAGGTTGCAAACACTGCTGATAGTATAGTGTTAGCCAAATTACTACAAATTCATTAAATTCAGCAAAGATTTTTCGTATTTATTCACATTTCTCGTAAAAATCTAATGCTTTTATTGTAAACTGATGCGATTTTTCAAGAAAAAGATATATTGTTTAGAAATTCATCAAGAATACTATGTTGTAAATGATCCTTTGGCAATCTTTAAGGAGTTAGCACTCAAAGGTATGGGGTGAGAGTTTTTGCAATGTTCATTAATCATCTCATTAGGTGCCCAGGTCGCTGTAATTGCTTCCGTAAGCTGTTGCATAATTTTACTAAATTTTTATTCAATGACTTTAGAATTACCAAGAAGTGCCCTATTGCATTCACGTCGGAACTATTTCCAGACCATAGCAGCACGTCAGTGCCACAACCCTCAAGAAAACGGGTCACTTCACGCCTCTTGTGACATGGAGCATCGTCATACATGAAAATGAAGTCTCTTGTCGCTGTAAATTCTTTTTCTCTGTCCATTCACACAGCTGAGGGGCCAGCTGGTGCTCTAGTAGTGTCATGTACTGCTACTGGTTCATGTTATCCTGGGAGATGTAGATCCGATCAGTTCCGAAGATGCTCATAACGTCCCATATCATGACCTGAGTGGGATGCTTTGTTCATTGAACGATACAGTCTCACCTCCTCTGTTTTCCAGGTAACCGCCCAGATATTATGAGCGTGTTGGTCAGAGGACCGGATGATGCACACCGCTAAAAACAACCCAAGATAAAACACAGGGGAGCTGTACGGGGTACCTAAGCAACGTAGGCAAAATTGTCCACGAAATTCCTCACCAAAATAAAGCTTTTGCTTCTAACCCGCTTCCAGTCTTCGTTTCACCCTTTTTTAAAGCTTTTTGGCCCATTCCGGTCGCTTTTCTTTCATTTGTTTGGTCAACTTTTGATTTTTCAGAGGTTTGGAAGCTCGAACTCCAGAATCCAAAATTTGTCTTCTTACAGTTCTCGAACTTACTGCGGCACCATGCTGTTCTAACATCCCTTGCAGCTGTCTTCTAGATGTTTTGTGATTCTGTCGGCATTCCCTAAGCAGAATTGAATCGTCTCAAAGTGTTATTGCTCTTCTGAGACCACATTTACTGGAAGGTTTAGGGGACAGCAGTCAAATGCTTCTGCAATTTCTTTGAATTTGGCATACTGACGCTGGGCTAACCCAGCGATCATAGTTTACTTTTCGCACTCCTTACATCAACGATCACTGCACCCCAATGTCTTTCTGAACGTTTACGCTCGATACTTTTTTTATTTTACACTGATGTTAATTATCAAAGTATTCATCTCGGCAGACGTTCGGTAGATGACTCAGATATATTTTGATTTCATCATATTCATCTCAACCATCCTACGGGACGTGTCAGGCACTTGCTTTTATCCCGTGATAAATCATTGTTCATTGTTCATAACTTACCCATTAATACACTAATACGACCTAGCAACGATGAGTAAGGTTGTGTTGTTACGAGAGATCCCTTGAAAAATAAAAATAAAAGTAAGCAAATAGAAGTATATATTGATCTAAAACCAAACAAGTGCAATTCAGAAATGTAGACTACGGTAGGAAACAACAAATAGAGGAAAACATGCAACCTTTGGTTTAAATAACTGCTGCACATGTAACATCATCCAAGGTGTCATCCGCCTATAAAATACCATGCATTGTGACAACATGTGTCCAACAAATAAATTACTTACATACTTGTCAACTACTTTTGTCGTTGGTTACCATGACGTTGCGAATAGTAAAAGAAACTGGTATTGTGACCATGACAAACTGAAAAGGATAACCGAAAAGAATAAACGGAGACTACATAATGAATGTATAATCATTTGGCCAAAACTGTATGAAGTAGCCTGATGGCGAAACGCGACCAATATTCCAAATAGCTGCGAAAATGCTGTCGTAATATGCTATCAAGTTGATTTAAGTGAATGAGATTTATAACGTCATTTTAATGTACCCATTGTAATAATCTTAAGTGTATGTATTCCTTTAACTGTGCGAATTTGAAGTGTTTAGGCGGTTGCACATACAATTACACATGTTATGACTAAAGCGATGTTACCGGCTTCGAATCAGACAGAACCGTAGCTAGCCACAAGTGTAGGAGTGACGCGTCTTTATTCTACATAAACTGTCACGTAATTAATTATTTCGTTCGACAATTAGCCGAGCGGAACTGGACAAAGACTCAACGCACCTAAATTACAAGATATTTCAGCAGTAAGAGCAGCTGTAGGTGCCGAAATAATGAAGTATTGCAGCGATAGAATTTACTAAGCTGCGGCACTTTAGGTGAAAGAAATGACCCCTGTAGTCTTGATGGTCGTGCATACATGACCGCGACGGTAATTTCTGGTCTCGCCTAACGGAAGCTCTCATGCAACTAGACGGTAGCAAAAATCAGATCTTGTCTTCACAAACCAAGCTAAAATGTTTTCCATGCAAAAAAGGGCTCCACTCAGCAACTCTGACCATTGCAACGTGATGGAATGCCCTGTTATTTACAGTAAGAGAACCTCCATTGCTTTGGCTCAAATAACATTCAAAATTATCAGGCGACGACACTGCTCCATGTCTCACATCGCGAGAGTCCACACAACTTTGCCCTCCACGGATCTTCTTGTTTTCAACGACCCCAATTTGTCGGTTCAATGTGAGAATCTCAGCGGCTATCATAATTTCTGCATTGACCTTTGCTACCCAGTTGAAACAATTTAGTAAATGGCAGAGCGACTCTCCTCCCCATTAAACACAACTTAAAAGGATGAAAGAACGTGCATATAAAAGTAAACTGCTGGATCGTGCCAAGTTACTTTCTTTAGCCATAAAATCTAATACTTCAGCAGCATTGGTGCTGAAGTATTAGAAACCACCTCCCGCTTCTGCTACCTTGGGAGTGTGATGTCGACACG